CTGGGCTGGGTTTGGGCAGGGGGAGCCCAGCAAGGCTGGGTCTGGACAGGGAGGGTGGCAGAGCTGTCACAATTCCTCGTGGCCGCCTCCCCTCAGGTGTCCCCAGCTGTCCAGCCAAGCTCTGAGCCCGGGGTTTTACAGTCCCTGCTGGCTCTGGGGGTCCCTGGGGTGTGAGCACACTCAGGCTGGGCTTTCCCTCCCCTGCAGACCTGATCAAGGAGGTGCTGAGCATGGATGATGAGATCCAGAAGCTGGCCACGGAGCTGTACCACCAGAAGTCTGTGCTCATCATGGGACGGGGCTACCACTATGCCACGTGTCTGGAGGGAGCCTTGGTAAGGTTCTGGGACTAAAGAATTCACAGAGCCACATTTCAAACCTCTGTGCACCACACCTGGCTCCAGGTGCAGCTGGGGAGGGAGCCTTGGTGAGGTTCTGGGACTAAAGAATCCACAGAGCTGGTTAAAAACCACGACAAGGTGGCTCCAAGTGTAATGAATCCTTTCCCCCCCTGCAGAAAATCAAAGAAATCACCTACATGCACTCGGAGGGGATCCTGGCTGGGGAGCTGAAGCACGGGCCCCTGGCCCTGGTGGACAAGCTGATGCCTGTGATCATGATCATCATGAGAGACCACACCTATGCCAAGTGCCAGAACGCCCTGCAGCAGGTCATTGCACGGCAGGTGAGGGCTGGGAGGGGCCTGCAGGGCTCCAGAGGGGCTGCTTTTAACAGAAACTGCTCACATGGGTGTCTGCAGGGCTCCAGAGGGGCTGCTTTTAACAGAAAGTCACTCTCAGACACCCATTCTGCACACCTGGGTGTCCCTGCCCACCTGTGAGCTCAGGGAATACTCTGGGCATCTCACAGCAGCCCTTGCAGCAATTGCAGAAGCCTGGCATGGTCTGTTTAACCCTTTGATACCCCCCAGGGCACGTGGAGCTGTTTGGTTCTAAATTAAGTCAAATTGGTTCTAAATTTGGTTCAATGTGAAGCTGTTTGGTTCTCAATTAAGCAGCAGATTTTGCCGCTGGCAGGGAAGAACCCCCCAGATGTGCTTCCCTTTGGGGTGGAACCCTCCAGATGTGCTTCCCTTAGGGGAGGAACCCTCCAGATGTGCTTCCCTTTGGGGTGGAACCTTCCAGATGTGCTTCCCTTCGGGGTGGAACCCCCCAGATGTGCTTCCCTTCGGGGTAGAACCCCCCAGATGTGCTCCCCTTCGGGGTGGAACCCCCCAGATGTGCTCCCCTTCGGGGTAGAACCCCCCAGATGTGCTTCCCTTCGGGGTAGAACCCCCCAGATGTGCTCCCCTTCGGGGTGGAACCCCCCAGATGTGCTTCCCCTCAGCCCCTGCCCTGTGCTACAGGGCCGGCCCGTGGTGATCTGCGACAAGGAGGACATCGAGACCATCAAGAACAACAAGAGGACGATCAAAGTGCCCCACTCGGTGGATTGCCTGCAGGGCATCCTGAGCGTCATCCCCCTGCAGCTGCTGGCC